GGGCGAGGGTACTGCGTTTTTAACAAACTATCTATGTGATTCCGATAGCCAGTCCAGCATTTGTGAGAGCCCAACATTTGGGAACATAGGGTCTAGTAAATACTCTTATTTTACAGATAAGAAAATGAAGATGCACAGAAAATTTTTTAAATTGTTGGAGGTATTAATGTATTATGGGCTAGAAACCATATTTTCTGACACCCAGCATATCCCATCTTCCCAGGAGGTCACAGTGCTTATTGGAGTGGTCACCATCAAGATATTAGCCACTTGCTTTCCTCCATAGACAAGGTGTCCTTAGCACCCTAAGCTTTGAGTTGTGGCTCTTGAAATGTCCTGAGGTGTCTGTTCCGGGCTCTTTCTACTTCAACACACTGCTTTCAAGGTTGAGGCACTTAATTAAACTAAACTGCTGTGTCTATGAGAAGGCTACTAGATCACCCTTCTCTATTCTATCTTTTTGTTGTTTGATTTTCATGAATTCTTTGAATTTATATTCCATAGATTTCCATCCTTAGCCTACTTATAAACAGCAGTTGGGCAGTAAAGTGAACATATGGTATTGTTCAATACAGGTAAAAATGATTTGTCAAATATCAGCTAATGGTTCCACATTAACTACATCCTGGCACTCTGAATCTAAACACCCAACTTTCCTAGAACTAGGAGTGAGTATGATGAACTTTGCTTCGTAAGTTTCCTGAATAGACAGGACATAACCAACATATATAAAGAAAAAGCACTTATCCATCTATGCGTTCATTCCCCAGATATTATTGGCCATGTGCTCTATACTAATCCTGATCTAGACATGGAATACAGTTGTGAGCAGGAGAGAAAGTTGGTCTATTCTCATAGAGCCTAAGTCCTAGAGGGAGATTGTATGTGAAGCCCATTTAAACAAGGCTGTGCAACCCCTAGAATATAAGCTTCATGAGGGCGGAGATTTTTATCTGTTCTGTTCGTGGCTCCTTCTCCAGTGCCTAGGCAGTACCTGACACATGGGAGGTGCCTGGTGAATTTAGTGAATGAACAATCATCTGATCAAACAGAAACTATGGCCCCTCCCAAATTAACTGTTTCACAAAAAGAAATAGAATAAGTAATGTTTAATGAGAAGTATTATTTATAGAGGGGATTAAATCATCATTTCCATTGGTTTCTACTGTGCTGTATTTTTATAACCTCTAAAAGCCTTTTGTGAAAAAAATTTTGTATCCGAATGTGTATACTCTTAGGCGTGTAGATGACCTATGTAGATATTAACACACATGGCTGGAAATACATACATATTATATACCTATAAAGATTTAAGTAGTCATAATATTTGTTTTATAAAATAACTCATACTTTTAGGTACAAGCTAAAGCAGTCAAGGATGAAATGGTTTCACAGAACTAGGATGTTTGTTGTGATAAAATAAAAAGGACATTTAGGAGAGCTGTGTTATCAACAGCTGACGTCTGTTCAGGTTGTAAGGGCTGTGGTGGTCGTCATTTTATGGAGGCTTCTAATCTCTCAGCTTTCAAAACATTGAAGAGCTGATACTGAACAGATGTGGATTCCATACATGGTGATTCTCTGCCACCGTCTCCAACAAAGTCTATCTCTACTGGTTGAAAGGGTGGTAACCAAGCTAGCAATACAAAATAAAATGAGAGAGTATGAAAATAGCTTGTGATTGATAAAGCACAAGTACCTCAAAATAATAGAATTCTCTAAGATAATTAGTTTATAATCCAAGTAGGGAAAATTGGTTTTATAAAAATTTCTGATAGGACCACTCTAATGTTCTTATCTATGAACAACATTACATTCCTTCTTCCTACCTGAGGAAACAGCTGTTGGGATTTTGTTTTTGTTTTTGTTTTTGTTTTTATGAGACAGACTGGAAACTGACCTAAAACCTCCAAAAGGAAAAGTCTACCCTAAGTCATTGTAAATTATATCATTTCTCCCTCTCTCCTTACCTTGCAATCTCAAGATACAAAAGCTCCTCAACTTCCTAGCCTTCAACAAATACCACTTTCAACACTTTTAACATACCTTTTCTGTTAAACACTGAAAGATAAGAATGTTGAAAGATGCTGAATGTTGAGCTGGTTAGAACAGGAACAGAATTGAAAGTAGTGAGGAAATGGCAAACTTGTTGTGGAAATGAGTTGTTTGACAGGAACAATTCTGTAGAGCTCCCAGTTTGTGCATCATTTGAAAAGTCCTGTGCTGGAGCAATCCATACTAATCAGCAAGAGACAAGAGAAAGGATGAACAATTGAAAAGGTGGGAAGCTTGTGATCACAGGATCAACCTCAATGTCAGCTATCTCTTAACCTAAAATGAATTTAAGAGACAGCTGGGAGTTTGAGAACTCAAAGACTAAGCAAATTGTGAAATGCTGTTGCTAAAATTTTGGTCACAAGCCATGGATTATTACTTGGATCAAAGCCAGTTCCTGTTTGCGTACTGACAAAGTTTAGTAGCTAGGTCATGAGTACATCTATACAGACATGCTCAAGGGCTCCCTATGAACTGCAGATATTATAGTGGAGAAAGAGGGATTTTCAGTGTAGACAAAACTATTTTGGGAGAAGATGTCCACAGACACACAAGTCAATATAAAATATCTGAGCAGAGAGAAGAATAAGCCTAGTTTTTACATTTCTGCAAGAACTGACTCCTATTCCTTGTGGCATAATGCATCTCAGGATTAAGTTCAAACTCTTCGTAGTTCACTGAAAATCTAGATCCCTAAAAAATTTGAAGAGCAGATTGAAAACTCCAAATTCTTTGTTATATTACATTGGTTGCAGAAGCCTTTTGTGTCATAGAAAACATTCAAGTCACGATTTTAACTTAGAGTGGTTTGTGATGGTGCTAATACCTGAGCAGTGTCTTCTAAGTTACTTATTATGAAAATAAGAAAAACAAAATGCAGGCATCTTTGTATAAATTTTTTAAAAGATTATAAAGAAGCAAGAAGAGTCAGGACCAATGTTACATAAACATCTTTTCTCTCAAGTAGTAATTTGACTTAGGAACAAAATGGTCTCAAGACCTAACCTATTTGCAAATTGAACAGTTCTTACTCTGTGCAGAGGTAGCAGGAGTTTTATCCTGAAGTCTACAAAAATGAGCTGATATATCAACAAAGATTAATACATTGACTGTCTCTATCATGTTAAGATATTATATATAATACATTTGAGTATATGTGTTAATTTTAAATTTTTAAAGTTTTTTTTTTATTTTTTTTTTTAAAGATTTTATTTATTTATTCATGAGAGAGAGGCAGAGGGAGGAGCAGGCTCCCAAGAAGCAGGGAGCCCGATGCGGGACTCGATCCCAGGACCCTGAGATCATGACCTGAGCCGAAGGCAGACGCTTAACTATCTGAGCCACCCAGGCGCCCAATTTTAAATTTTTAATAACTAAAATATTTTAAATAAAGTCTGACCCCATATAGAATGTCTTTTTTTTTTTTTTAAGATTTATTTTATTTTAGAGAGAGAGAAAGTGCTGGGGGCAGGGGGGGCACGCAGAAGGAGAGAGAGAATCCCAAACACACTCCATGCTGAGCGTGGAGCCCTGTGTGGGGCTCACTCGATCTCACAGCCCCGAAATCGTGACCTGAGCTGAAATCAGAGTCAGATGATTAACTGAGCCACCCAGGCACCCCTAGTATGTCGTTTTCAATTCCACCTTTCTATCATCCCTGGTGGGGTGGGGAGTGGAGGTGGGGGTCTTTCAACATAATACAACATAGTAAAAATTATGCCAAAGGAAGTGGAAGAGACCCTGGCCCCACAGATTACTTACTGTTTATACAGGAGGAAACATGTCGCTACAGTGGAACCATCTGATAGTCACCACCTTAACCAAGTGATCAAATTTATAGCACTACTAAGAGCAGGGACAGCCTGACATTTTGTGCCTCCTGAATTGATACAAAATTAAGTATGTAATATTTTGTATAAAGTACTCATGGCAGAAACGTTTAAGCAAGCTTTTTCAGACCCAACTTTCAGTTTGCAAGCAAAACAGGGACAAGTTAAATGACACTGTGAAAAAATAATATGACAAATCAAAAAAGTTAATGATTTTCAGAGTGCCTGGCTGGCTCAGCCAGTCAAGCATGCAACTCTGTTTTTTTGTTTTTTTTTTTAAAGATTTTATTTATTTATTTGAGAGAGAATGAGAGAGAGCACATGAGTGGGGGGAGGGTCAGAGGGAGAAGCAGACTCCCTGCCGAGCAAGGAGCCCGATGTGGGACTCGATTCAGGGACTCCAGGTTCATGACCTGAGCCGAAGGCAGTCGCTTAACCAACTGAGCCACCCAGGTGCCCGAGCATGCAACTCTTGATCACGGGGTTGTAGGTCTGAGCCCCACATTGGGTGTAGACGTTACTTAAAAATAAAATCTAAAAAAAAAAAAAGTCAATGATTTTCATGAAAAAGTTAATGGTTTTTATTTTTATTTCTTGAAAAATGGGGAGGATCTAGTCAAGATTTAAGACTAACCAGAGATACAAATCCATGTGCAATGTGTGAATCTTGATTAATTCTGGTTGGGGGGGAAGCGATAAAAGATACTTTTGGGACAATAGGAGAAATTTGAATATGGATTGTATGTTAGATAATATGGAATTATTGTTAGTTTGTAACATTCGATAGCAGTCATGTGGTTATGTATGAGACATTCTGTGCTTATAAAACGTGCTGAAGCTTGGCGGGGTGAAGAGTCATGATGTATGGCATTGTCATGTCTAGATAGAATGTATACGTGTGCTCAGTATCCTGTCCTTTCAACTTTTCAGTGTATTTAAAAGTGTTATAGGTATATAGTTGTATAGAGATACAACTCTGTAGATGTATAAAGAGATACATGGTAGGGGACCAAGGGAGAGAGTGTTGACCTTTGTTCTTGGAGAAGTACAAGTTATAGAAGCACTAAATAATTTTTGAAGAACTAACAAATTAATTTCCCCTTCTTTCTACTTTAGGTTCAAGAAAAAGGAAGATTAGACTATGCTAAGGTAAGTAGATATTATATATACTATACAGTTTTATACATTTCAGTTTGGTGTGTGGTTTTTGTTTATATTTGAAAGGTCAAAAGAGAATCATCCCTTTCAAAGTTGGGGGACACTCCCTGTTAAGTAACAGGCATTAGCAGGTAAGTGCACTTACTGAGTGCCTAGTTCATCCCAAACACTGTTAGGTGTTGAGACTACAACAGTAATCCAGATGAAGTGTTTTCTTTTGGGACATTTACAGTCCAGTGTGGGAGATAGATAACTAATAAACAACTAAATGGATACATCATATAAAGTCATGTGGTGGTAAGTGCCATGAGGAAAAATAAACTGGGTAAGATCACTCACCGTTGCTAGAAAGATGCCTTTGGCATCTTTGGCTTTTAGCGCCATTAGATAACACGTGAGAAGCACCACACAGAGCCGACTTAGACTCCTAAAAGTAGTAGTTTTCACATCATCTGTGGAGCTTTTGAAAACACACATGCCTAGGTGCAGCATCACACCCTCTTTCACCAAGATCAAAATCCCCTGGTGGGGAGAGCAGGGCAGGGGCAGGAAGGAAGTATTTGAAAAAAGGCTCCACAGATCATTCCGACACACAGCCTTGTTTAAAAACCGCTGTGAGAGTTCAGATTGCAGTGCACCAGTGCAAGCCTCCGAACACACTTCGGTCACATTCTGTGCCCCCCCCCCGGGGAGAAATGGAACATTGTAGCAGGTGCATGGGCTGCATATAGCTACTTGGCTAAAGGAAGGCGCTAACCATCTGGTTTATGCAGCAATCAGGACTATCCCGGGTATGAGCACACCTGCACTCCAAAGACAAGGAGGAGGAAATACAAGCTGTAAGGGCTCTGCTCGCAGTGGGACAACTGAAACCCAAGATGATCTCTCAGGGCTGATCTGGAACCTCGTGCTCTCCTGACAGTCCCCGGGGGGGTACACCCATGGCTCCATGCATTTGCTCTCTTTTCCTTGACTGAGATGCAGTTCCTCCTTCTCTCTGTCTCACAAACTTTTGCTTCCTTTCAGAAAAACTAGATAAGAGCACCTCTAAACTGAGGGCCTCCATATGCATCACTCTTCTTAGATGTCTACTTGACCCTATGTACCCAAACTCGGGCTGTGGACATACCCTCCTGGGTCGCCCACAGTCATCTTAAACTGAACTCACCATCTTGTCTGACATCCCTGGTCTTTTTTTTTTTTTTTTTTTAAGCTTTATTTATTTAAGTAGCCCCTACACCCAATGTGGGGTTCAAACTTATGACCTCAAGATCAAAAGTTGCATGCTTTTGTAACTCAGCCAGTCAGGCACCCCTAAATAGACCTTATTTTTTAGAGAAGTTTTAGGTTCACAGGAAGATTGGGCAAAAGTATCAAGAGTTACCATATCCCCTGACCCTACGCACACGCAGCCTCCCCTACTATCAGTAATCTGCAGGAGAGTGATATATTTGTTGCAGTCAGAGAAACTACATGGACATATCATCAGTACCCAAAATCCATGGTTTACATCAGTGTCCACTCATGTTGTATTTGTTGTCCTTTTAACTTATTCTCTCTCCTGTCATCCCCCCAGTCAACCCTGTGAGAATCTTAGAAGTCACCCTTGACAGTTCCTACTCCCTCACCCCCAGGTTCTTTACCAAGTCATGCCATTTTGGTATCCTACGTTTTCTTAAATCCAGCCCCTCCTCTTGATCTGTCTTCCATTACTTACATTGAATTTCTTCACCTGACCACTGGAAAGCCTACTGACTGGTCTTCCTAACTTTGTCATCACAAGTCCATTACCAACTGGAATGTCTAAATCACAAACCTGACAGTTTCAGACTCCAGCTTAAAACCTGCCATTGGCTTATGTCATTTATAAGGCAAATTCAAAGCTTGCTAGATGATTTCACCCCCTAGAGGGACTCTCCAGCATCATCTCTTCCTACCCTGTGTTCCAGCAGCACCAGATCACACAAAACGTACTGTTTCTGTTTTCCAGGCCTTGGCTCATTCTGTCCCCTCTGCTTGAAATGCCCTTCCCCCTATATCAGCTACCCCTGTTCTTTCTGTAAGGCTCCAGTTAGGACCATCTCCTACAGGTAGTCCTCCCTGGTTCCCCAGGCTGGATTAAGTGCTTTCCTTCATTCTTTAATACTTCGTGCATCTCTCAGTCATTGTACTTACTCTGTAATATAATGCCCCATTTATGGGACAGACTATACACTGTGAGCTCTTTGAGGGCAGGGACATTGTCTTATTTGTCTTTGTATACTCAGTGGTTAACACGGTGTTTGGCACATGGTAAATGGTGAGTGACTGAATGAGGGAGGAAGGTAGGGAGGGAGTGGATGAATGTAGAAAATGGAAGAGTAAGAAATGAGTAAGAAAAGAGAAGACACATGAAGTTAGTTTCAGGAGTAGGGTTTTTTATCTCAATCAGAGAGGAAAGATGCTTTTGATACACGTTGCAGATATCAACAGGGTTAAAAAAATTGTTTGGGAAGGCTGTAATATACTAGCTTGGAGATAAAGGCTGGGATTTCACTGTGTGGTAGTAAAGGAAAACTAACAAAAAGAGTCAGGGAAAAGTCAACACAATTTGGCAATAGAGTGACTCTTGGTCATTGATGTTTATTCATGACTCAGAGAACTCCTTCAGGGTTTTTTATCGCAGAGGCACATGACAGTTGAAGATGTTAAGAGAAAGGATAAAACATGATGCACAGATAGAACACCCCTGGGCGAAGCAGTGGCTTGGCCACCAACTCACTGCAAAATCTAGTATCACTTACCCTCTCTGGTCTTCCTTCGGGTTGCTTCATATACAACGAGCAGTTTCGAAGAGTGCTAGTCAATTCTTTGGACCCATTCCACATTCGAGAGAAGACGTTCTTCTTGAGGGGTGGGGGGCATTCTTATCTTGTACACCTGAGGTCCAGATTCATCCCTTCATCCACTCTATCCACCCAGCACCTGTGCATGGAACAGTTAATATGTGCAAGGCACTATGCTAGTGCTGCCTGTCACCGTGAGCAAGACTGATGTAGGCCTTGCCACCACATGCTTCCTTGACTCAGACCTGCCTGTCTAAAGTAGCCACTCCCCGGGGCGCCTGGGTGGCTCATTCAGTTAAGCGACTGCCTTCGGCTCAGGTCATGATCCCAGGGTCCTGGGATCGAGCCCCGCATCGGGCTCCCTGCTCTGCGGGGAGTCTGCTTCTCCCTCTCCCTCTGCCTCTCCCCCCAACTCGTTTTCTCACTCACTCTGTGTGCTCTCTCTCCCTCAAATAAATAATCTTTAAAAAATAATAATAAAGTAGCTACCCCCCCTTTGCTCTATTTTTTCTTAACATTTATAATAATGTAGAATTATCATTTTCATTGAGTTGCTTGTTCCTGCTTTTTCTCTTTCACTGAAACGTAAGAGCTCCAAAGGCAGGGCCTCGTACATGGTCACATCATCTGTACCCAGCACAGGCGTCTATGTAGGAGGCTTGGTGAATGCATGCATGTGAGTTGCACTAGTGTTATTCTAGAAGTGTGGGAGGTTCTGGGAGGTCTGGAGTGGAGTATTGTAGACTTCAACGAACCACTTTAAGAATATGTTGACTATATAGCACAATCCATCTCAATGGTTAATAGCCCTAAGGTTGCCTTCCCAAGTGCCTAGTGACAATATTTCTCATGCCAGTAAACAGAACCTACCCCTCTGGAATATGTGGTACAGTTCTGACACTTAAGGGCCATCACTTGATCTAGGCAATTAATCTAAACTTATCATCCTTACACAGACCTAAACCCAAGTAACTTGGGGGAAAAAAGATTATATCCATCTCTTCTAGGTATGGGGGAGATGTCTGCAGGGTCCAGTTTATGATACTGTCTCCTGTGCAGTGTACCGTGGGCCCATAGTAATACCTATCATGACCCCAGGTCTCTTCCTCTCTGTTTGGCATGATCATGGTGCTCGTGCTGACTGATGCAGGCCCCATGCTTAGTAGCTCAGGGCCACCCTTGTGGGATTATCTGTAAAAGGACATTTAAAAAAACTCAGCAGCCATTTCTGGAGATCATCATGAAATGTATTTGTGGCTGGAAATTTTGTTACTTCCAAGTGATTATTTACCCAAAAGCCAAATTTTATCTGAAAAAATCCGATTCTGAGGACCATAGGAAATTATTTTGACCATGTGCTCTGTGGCCTCACCTGCCATCTCTCAAATTCTGTTGGTCTCAGCAGGGCGAGGAAGTCAAGAAAGAGGGGGAAGAGGTGGTAACTTCAAAATCAGTCTTGGCTGGATCTTGAAACTGTCACTTACCGCCAAACAGTGGTCTGTACTCAAACACTCAGATAAGAAATGGAATTACTTTTTAATTGAGTTCTTGTTGCGATCGAGTCTGGATATGAATGCTTTACACCGCCACAGTGCCTTTCATCTTAAGACATCAAAGCACTCGACAGCTATTAATTCATTACGTCTCTCCCACCTCTGTCAGGTGGTTAACGCACTCATGGGAGCACTCTACCTATCGCGGAAACTCATCCACCTGGAGTCTGGGCGAGGACAGGGACTGTGTCACTGTAAGGCTATTCCACCCAGTAGCTTTTAGAATAGAAAAACGAGGAGCGTCTTACTTACCTAGTTAAAACTGCGGAAGTCTTAGTAGACAGAATACAGTTACCAGAAGTGAACTGTGACCCGGAAAGCTGGTGCTAACACTTTGGCTCATATGCACAATACGATGGGGATCTTAATTACAGTGACTGGTCTGCAGCCCCGGGTGTGTATCTCTCAGACTCTAGTCCACACTCCCCGGGCTTCTGGCCCCACGGTTAAGCACGGCTGATTCAGGGCAGTGCTAGAGGGAAGAGTGCCACCTATTGAATTACAGGAATTCATGGGCACTTGTTGGGACTGGTGGAGAAGTTTCTCAGACCACACTCATGCTTGGTTTGCTATGGTAACATATATATGTCTGAAAGAAAACGAATATGTTGAC